AGTCTCATTAAGTGTCCAGTTTAAGGGTATTAAACAGAAACATACCAAGGGAACATGAATCAAATATGCACTTTTATTCATTTACAATAAATTCATAAAGTACATCATTCTGATTGAAGCTAAGGGCATACAAAACTGTCTAACAGCCAATACTTTCCTCCTTGAGGAGTCTCTAAGCACACCACCAATACCTGCCATTCCCAGATTTACCATCAATCTCCCATCAAAGTTTTACTTTATTTTATCCCCTACTGGGGCTTCCAATCCTTCATCTTTCATTCCTTTTCTTTAGAGGAGTGTGCCACTTCATTCCAAGCTATCACTGTAAAGCTTTGGAAGAGATCCTAGAGTTTTTATTCAGTTTGCAACTTTTATTTTTATTACTTCCGCCAAATCCTCCTTTGACCTGTGCCTCTCAGTGAAGATTCTTGCATTTCTTTCCTCCCAAATGGTCCACATTTCACACCACTACTGCTCTGACAGCTTTCCACAGCAATCTGCCTCTCTTTGTTGGTTGCCTAAGTTTGGACAGAAGAGACTCATTACATCCTGGGTTAGGGAGATATCCACCTGCAACTGAAAAGAGAACAAAAAGACTCCCAAATAAAAAGCACAAAAGGATAAGAGATTAATAAGTGGGATAAGGTTTCATCATATGCAAAACAAAGAAAGCAAACATGTGGGGAAAATCATTTATTCGGCCTCCTCTTTTGAAGCATGTCACATGTGTTCACCTTCCCAAGAAAAAACCTCCCAACATAGTGCTTGAACTTTGGGTGGTATGGGCTTGCTCCAAATCTCTTTTACCGGGAAATTCTCCCCCACTGCTAAAGGTTGCAAGAATGAATTGAAGAAAGAAGCACATCGAAAGTTTAGCAAGGGAGCTCAATGCCACTTTCACTTGTATCAGAAGGACTGCAAATGGGATGGCTGACTCTAGCAAAACAAGGAGTTTATAGACAACATCTTTTTTGGGCAGTATTATAAATCATTATGTAGCTCTGACTGTGCTTTTCTGTTGATTGTAATCTGTTTTCGTTTTATCTCAAATTAATAAAATTAATCCTTCTTTGCTGATCAAAAAAAAAAAAAAAAGAAGAAAGAAGCACAAATAAAGATACCATCAGGGGATGAAGACCAGACTCTAGTGTCCTCCATAGTTTGAACCAAGAAAGCTAAATTGGGTTTATCCAACAAGAGAATAAGGGGCTCACATTCATTGTTCCTCAACCCCCTTCTAAAGCCAAAATCCCAACTCAAGCCAAAAGGAGAGAAGGTGAAAAATCTTGAGATAGGTTGATGCTTATAGTTTGACACTAAATAAAGGCTTGGGAAAGGGAACTGAGAGGATTGCCAGCCATCCATAGATCTCCCCAGAAAAGGAAAAGAACTCTTGACCCACACCCCACATCAAACCTGATAAAGTTTATAAAAGTTGGGTATACCTCATGAATTGCTTTCCAAGGAGACCTTGAGGTCAAAGAAGGGGCTACCTTTGCGTCCCAGCCATTGTCCATCATCCCATGAATGCTTTCAATGATCTTATGCCACAGCCCGTCTCTTTCCAATGGAAACCTCTAAAGCCACTTCCTAAGCAGAAAGGTATTTTGAAGAATTAGATTCCCTATGTTTAACCCTCCTTTTTCTTTCACTTTACTAAATTGTTCCCACTTTACTAGATGATCCCTTCTCTCATTCCTTGCTATTCTAGCTGGAATCCTGGAAGTGGAAAGGAAGTAGATTGGAAGGTTAGCTAGAGTTGCTCTAATCAGAATTATTCTCCTTCCCAATGAGATATATTTCCTCTTTGAAAGGGCCAACTTTTTAGTGAATCTCCCATTCTCTCTACCACCGGTTTCCAAAAAATTTTTGATCTCGGGTTCCCACCTAGATGTAGTCCTAGGTATTCCATTTTCCACTGTTTGACGTCACACCCTAGAATCCCTACTATACTACTCAAATCTTCAACTTCTACATTGATACCTGCTAAAAAATTCTTTCACCAATTCACCTTCAACCATGATAAAGATTCAAAGGAGTTTATAAGCTCTTTCAAGACTCAGATTTTTATGATTATCTCCCTCATAGAATAGGATGATATCATCTGCAAACTGCAAATGTGTGACTACCACCTCATGCCTTCTTAGATACAACCAAGGAGGTTTGGGATCATGTAAAGAAGCTTTATTCTGGACAAGACAACACAACTAGGGTTTACCAACTGTACCAAGAGTATTTTAATCTGCAACAGGGTAATCAAAGTGTTGAGGAATATTATGCTAGTATGAGTTGAATGTGTATCACCCCCTTACATCTGATGTCAAGATTCAGCAACAACAGAGAGCGGTTGGATGGTGGGTCTGCTCTTCCCTCTTAGTAGGGTTAAAGTCTGAATATGAACTGGTGAGAGCACTGTTTGCTGAAAGATTGTAGCTGAAGTAGTAGAAGAGAGGTGAAGGCAAACAAGTGTTGAGAATCGAACTCAGTAACCCAGTCGACAGTACTATTATTTATAGTAGATTACAATACAGTGTTACATGAAATGTCTGGAATGCCCCTGATTAGTGATGGGACACCCAGACTGCTTAAAACACTAAACAGACTT